TCAGATGGTGCAAGGTCAGGACTATATGGTGGATGTGGCAAAACATCTCAACCAAGCTCCAATAATTTTTGCCGAGTGACCAAAGACGTGTGTAGCCTTGCATTGTCATGATGGAATACAACACCTTTTCGATTTGTCAATTCGGGCCGCTTTTCTTCAACTGCATTGTTTAATTTTGTTAGTTGTTCAATGTAGACATCAGAATTGATCGTTCAGTTGGGTAGTAAGAGTTCAAAGTAGACAATTCCTTTGTAATCCCATCAAAATGATAACAAAACCTTCTTTTGATGAATATCAGCTTTTGATGTTGTTTGAGTTGGTTCACCTGGCCTGCTCCACGATCTTTTCCGCTTGATATTGTTGTAAACAATCCATTTTTCATCGCCAGTTATCAGTCGTTTTAAAAATGGATCCTTTCCATTACGTTTCTTTAGCAAATCGCAGCTGTTAATGCGTTGCGTTAAAAGCATTTCTTTCAGTTCGTGAGGAACCCATGTATTGAGTTTTTGAAATTTGCCAAGTTGTTTTAAGTGATTTTCAATGTATGTATGTGATACATGAAGCTTCTCTGCAATCTCACATGTTGTACTGTGACGATCCAAATCGATTATTGCTTTGATTAGGTCGTCATCAACTTTAACTGAACGACCAGAGCCTTTTTCATCTTTGAGTGAAAAATCACCAGAACGAAATTTCGCAAACCAATTTTGACACTGCCGTTCTTTTAAGGCTTCGTCACCATAAACAGCATATAACTTTTTATGAGCTTGTGATGTATTTTTCTTTGCGGAAATAAAAAAGCAAAATATGACGAAAATATTCCTTTTGATTTTCCATTTTTAAACGAAAACTACGCAACCGATCAAAAAAACTTTTTTTACTGATTGACAGCTGAATTGCCAACTATCAGATAACAAAATGTGTTTTACATTTGTACTACGTCTGCAACCCTAAAAATTCAACTGAGGGTATCTATGAATGAAATCCGCAATTACTTAGTTGCCAACCCAATAAAAAATAATACACTTGTTAACTTTTCGCGGAACTGAAAAAACCAATTTAAAGGCATTTCAAGTAAAGCTATTACATTTTAAACCCATTTGTTGGAACAAAGATTTTCTTCCATGTTATATTTGAAAAATAATTACAGAAGATTAAAAGTGGATCCTAATTTATGGTTAAAACTAAGTGAAATATAACCAGACATAAAGAAATTGATCTCTCTTAAACAGGTCCAAATTTCCCACTTAAGTATTGTAACTTAACCCATAAGCCACTGGTGTTGCATTGATGCAACTGTCAAAATAAATGCGTATATAACTACCTAAGATATTTTATAACAGCCAGATGATTTTGTGTAGGAAATATTATAAATATTATTTCTGTAAAAAAATATTTGCCTTCAACAATCATTTTGTTTATAATAATTAATCTCATACTTTAAAGCAAAATTTAAGCAAAATTTTCGACCAGGTATTTTTGCACAAAATATTTAACAAAAGAATCGCCATCTTTATGAGTGATCTATTTTTAGTCAAGGTCACCATTTATCAGAACATTACATCAATCAGATGTTAGATTTGTGTTGGGAAGGAAGGGAAATTAGGTGTTGCGCTGATGCAAGGCCAGCAGGAAACAAGTAATCTCCTTTTTTACTCATTCCTTTCGATGTTCTGTTCATGTTCTGACTGCTTTAAAAATACATTAGAAGAAGCCTTTCAACAATTTTTTAATGAAGAAACAGATGATGATAATGTTAATAATGACCAGAATGAAGCTGATACTGTTGTTGTTCCCCCAGAAGTTAGTGATGAATAAAAAGGGAATGACAATGTTTTAAATAATGATAATGATATTTTACCAAATGAATACTGCTGGGGAAGTTGAAATTCACATAAGAAGTAAGTTTCACCATTCTAAATGCACTGATAGTCATATGAAAAAGTCAGAAAATTGAAAACTTGAAATGGATAAAAAAGGAACCGTCAGTTATGTCTCAGGAAGAAAATGAAGAAAGGAGATAGAACAGAAACTATAAAAAACAAAATACAACGTAAAACTAGTGGAGAGATTTTTTTTGGGGGGGGATGGGGTTCAGACATTTTTCTCTCTTCTTGTTGAACGAACAAATATACATGCTCAGAAAACAAAACAACAAAAAAAAAAAAAAGAAGAAGAAGAAGAAGAAGGGGGGGGAAATAATAATTTTTTGTATCTGAAGCCTATATGATAAGATTTATTGGAATATATCCAATTACGGGATATCATTCTTTACCTCAAGAAGAAATGTATTGATCTTTTGATAAAGACATTTCTGTGCCTATTGATGATGTATTGGTCTATTGTACGAGAATCAATGTAATGTTTGCAATACAAGAATATGAAGCAGAATTTGCATTTAGCTGACAATAGACAAATTGATAATACTGATAAACTATATAAGGTGAGACCGTATCTAAACTTACAAAAAATTCCAACAATTTGGTATATTTTCCCACGATCTGAATATTGACAAGCAAATGATTTCTTATTGGGGCAAACATTCAGCAAAGATGTTTTAAAAGGGACACCTATAAGATTTGGATACAAAGCTTGGACTCTGGCATCATCTGATGGATATGTGTTTCATTTCCATATTTATTCAGGTAAATCGACAGCTTCAAAATTACCAAAATATGAAGAATTTAGGCTTGGAGGAAGTGTGGTGATAAATTTGCTCAGTGTTGTTGAAACTCCCGCCAATCATACCATTTATTCTGATAACTTTTTATATCATTTCAGCTTCTCTGTCATCTAAAAAATAAAGTTTTCAGTGCTATGAGAACAATTCAGGAAAACCGCTTACAAATGTGCCCACTAGAAACTGCGAAATGTGTCTGTAAGAAAGATAGGGGTTATTATGATTTCCAGTATGAAGAGAAAAACAAAATAATTTTTGTCCGATGGAATGACAACTCAGTTGTAATTGTTGGTTCAACATTTGGAAAATTCAGCCCATAAAAAAATGTTTCCCGTTATTCAAAAACGCAAAGAAAAAAGGGTTTTATATCTCACCCTCATCTTATTGAACAATAAAATGCCAAAACGGGTGGAGTCGATTTATGTGACAATTTAGTAGCCAATTACAGAATAACAGCTTGTGGCAAAAAATTGTGGTGGCCAATATTTACTAATTAGATTGATGTAGCCTTGATAAATGCATGGAAAATATCACGACTTTCTACTACTGAAAATAAAGTAAGTAAATATCATAAAGTCCGATGATAATAAGAGACTTCGTTGTAAAGACTGCCATAGCCAGACAGATCATATATGCAATGTAATGTAGCTTTACATCATGATTGTAGTGAAGCTTTTCATGCTTGAATCTTTCAACTGAAATAATCTGTATTTGTAAAAGAAATATAATATATACAGTCAAAAGTCGTTAATCCAGAATGATCTATAATCCGGACCTCAAAGCTACAAACTTTCTGCGCATGCGTCAAAGCATAATGCGTTCACGCATGCGCATAATACGTTTACGCATGCGCGTTTAATGTATAACAGATGGTATGAGCTAAAATTTTTTTATTTTTTATAAAAAATTGATTTTGATAAAGATTTGATAAAAATTGATCTGATTTTATAAATTATCTATTTCAGTTAATCTTGCAGATTGCGTTGTTCCTTAATCTTCCAATTGGATCCGGCTTATTATTTTTTGCAGACTGTTAGAGCAATTTTATAAAAGTAAGCTTGAACTTTCGATTATGTCAAATAGAATTTCCGATGCTGGAGCTGCTAAAGGATCTACAAAACGAAAGTATGTTTCGATGTCCATCAAATAAAAAGTGGAATTGCTGCAAAAAAGAAATAAAGGCATATCCTTTGTTTCTCTAACCATTCCGAAATCTGTTTATCAATTTCACAATCTGTTTATAAATTTCACGCTGCTCTGCGGGTGGGGAGGGGGGAAACGTCGCAGCGCGCAATGAACTGGAAGTTGATCTGTCAGCACTATCCTTATCTTCAGGGCAGATGTTTTTATTTTATTCAGCTTATAATTCCTTACTAAGTGTAGTATTTCATCTCGATGTATTCCGTCTTTGATATGATTTAAATCAAATTCCTCGTCATTATAAATACCACGAGTACACATCAAATAGTTTTCTGGTTGCGATTTTCTAATTTCGACTATGCGTAATGTATGCTTTATGCATGCGCACGTTGAAAGAAATGTTTAATAAAGTAAATTTTGATACCCTTTAGATCATAACTGCTCTTTATTTCATAAATTACGGTTTCATATTTTTAATTTTATAATTTCTGCATGCCATCTTACCAGATGTAAACTGATGATCTATAATCCAGAAAAATTGATAATCCGGAATCGTCGAAGTCCCGACGAGTCCAGATTAAAGACTTTTGACTGTATTTTAATATTAAATTAATTACAAGTAAAGTGATTTGTAGATTTATAAAACATTATACAACTAAAAAGTAATCTAGTCGCACGAGTACAATCCTACTCACTAAACATCTATAGTCTTATTCCGCTGACATTGCGTGAATGCAACAAAGAGGTGTTTTTTTTTTTATATATATATATATATATATAATTTTTTTTTATTTTCAATGTAAATTTATCTTATAAATGCTTAACTTACTATGATATTTTCATGAGAAAAGAATCATTCCTACTATCACGTACCAAAAGAAGCACCATTTTACATTCATTCAAATCTTTTGGGTAAAAACTGTACTGTCAGAAATAATGCAATATACTACTCAATTGCCATTATTACATTACGATATATGTACCATAGTTTGAGAAACTCTTCTTTATGCAGTTTTAATTAATTTTAAATTCCATTATGTTCACCAGGTTGACAAATTATTTTATATTTTTTTTTAATTGTAAACAATCATCCTAATGTAGGTGAACCTAATTAACCTAATGTAGATATGAACTAAAAGAAACTGATAGAAAATTTTATATGATGATATCTAGAACTTACTCGATTGTCATATGTGGCTTCTGGATTTTCATCACAGGCTATCACCTCAGGAGCCATCCTAGAACAACAACAATAATTTCTAAATTGTAACAACATCAATAATTTTTTTAAACAGAATAATGTAATTATAGTTTTCTTCACTACTTACCAATAAGGAGTTCCTATAAAAGTATTTCTTCGTCCTATTGTTCTGTCTAATTGAGCGCTTACACCGAAGTCAACTGCAAATAAAAATGTGTGTAAGAAAAGAACTTACCAGAATTTTTAAATATAAGAAACAAAGCAAACAGATACTCTAGTGTAATTAGGTAGACGTTTTGATCATCAGTTTGTCAGCAGAATGTTGGAGAGTAAAAATTATTAAATATATACATTTTAATCTGTAATTCTGATCATTTAATGCAGAATTAAATGTTTACTTAAATCTTGGAAAGTGGTTAATATTCATACAAATTATAAGAATGATGATTCAGCATTAAATTTGAGAGATCAATTTTTACACAAAGAAACTTTCATTTAGTTTAAACAACAATAAGAAACTACTCAAGACATTTTCAAACAAAATAACATAAATCATACTGAAATATTTCGTTTAAAAAGTTCATAAAGATAGAAACTATGAGCAGAAAAAGTACATACGAGATTTTACAATAAACCTAATTCTTTGGAAATGCCAGAGAAGTATACAGGAAAAAGTAAAATACAGTACAAAATGCGAGATACAAAATCATCGGGACTTAGATATTCCACATTTTATATTATAATTTAAATCTAGTCCGACTACATGATGAAATTGTAAAATTAAAAATATGAATGGCTGTTTCAGCGAAAATTTACCAAAAAGGGAGGGGAGAGAAAGAAAGGGGAAAAAATCAATCAAAAGAGAAAGGAAAAGGAAAAAGCTTAATGTTTGTATTCATTTTGTTTCATTAAAAGTTTTTTTCAATGTAAGTTGTTTAAGAAATTTCATTTTATTTGTTAACACTTTCTTTCTAATTTTATACAGATACATAATTCCTTGTTTAGTTGCAAAGTTTCACTGTTCAAGTTCCTTAACTCCACTGTCAAGAATTCCCATTGAATAATCAACTGAAATCTTTTCATTCTCAATAATTTTGTTAGCATTTACTTCACAGTCAGTGATGATATTTTCAGGATTTAGTACTGTACTACCTGTTTCCCTGTTTGTTAATAGATTGATGACTGGTGCATTGTCATCATAGCCTTCTTCCCTGCTTTGCTAGAGTATTAAATTACCTGGTCTTACACTGTATGTGAGATCTGAATAATGGAACAATCAGGTTATTGGATGTCTGTATTTTGCATTTTGTTCTGTAATAAATAGCAATGAAATGATATTGTAATACTTCCTTGTTCATATATCGCATGGACTTTTTGAATATTATCCTAAATATAAAAGTAATTAAACCCAGAAGCTTTCCAATACCATTTGCAAGATGTTATCTGAACATCATAACCTCTACACTCAAAAAATCCAAAAATAGAACCATTTTTATATTATTCTACTTAATACAAGAAGGTCCATTAACTGACACCATTTACTGAATGAATAACAGTCTCTCTTACCTAACTCAGACTTAAATTATCTCCTAAAAGAATTAGCACTGCAAGGCAGAATAATGAGTATTTATGCTCAAGTAAATGCAAAAAAAATTATGAAATTTTACAGCAATTTGTAGGATGTATATAAAAATAAATGATGTAGGATGCACATAAAAATAAATGATTATAAAAATTAAACTCTTAATTTTACAAAACTAATAATACATACCTAGCTTTACTTCAGCATTATCTGTTAGAAGAACATTCTGACCTTTGATATCCCTATGGATAATTTTATTGGCATGAAGATGACTTAGACCCTATAAATACAGAAAATTAATTAATTCTACAGAAAATATTTATAGCATATTTAAAATACAGGAAAGGAAATTTTAATATTTTAATGTAAAAAATTACTATATGAGTAACAATAGGGGAATATAATACAAAAATACACTTTTTTATATTTTAATATACCAATTTCCCCTCTGTTAGCTCTGCATCTAAAGCCAAAGAAAATATATAATACCCTGAGGATTTCTCTACAAATATAAGCTATCCATTCTTCTTTGAGACACTGTCCTTTGGTTGCTAGAAAAAAAAAAATTTGACAATAGTCACAATTAAAATCATATTTTTAAACTGGATAAAAAACAACATTTTTAAACTGCATAAAAGACAAAAAGAATTAATAAAACTTTAATGTTTCACTCTCATCTTCCTAATATTAAAAAGAAGAAGAATTAAAAGTGAAAGAACTTACATTTTACAAGATCAGTAACTGAGCCAGCACCACAATATTCCATGACAAGCTAGATGAGGGGATAAAAATATTAAATTTTGTTAACACTGAAATTTATTTTGGGTCCAATTTTTAGATTTTAAATCAAAGTATTATTTACATCTATTTATTTGCAAAAACTGACCAAAATATTTTGCTGCTACAATTTTCACATTAAACAAAATTCTTACTTAGCATAAATTAATATGCATACAAAAAAACTGAAATAAATTACTATTTCATGAAATAAAATGAAAGGGGTATAAAAGATAATAAAAATATGTTTTTTGTTGCATGAACACACTAAAAGTGTTTTGCCCATTTACCATAAAATATTAATGCAAAAAAAGAAGCTAAAGTGCAAAATTATATTGAAAATTTTAAATACTAAAATTCCAGTCACCAGAAAAAAGAAATAAAGATGTTTTAAGAAAATTTTCAAAAATTTGATACTATTACACGTTTTAAAAAATTATTTCAGAAATTTGTATTCCTAGAGTAAATTCAAGAATTTATATCTGCAAAACTATTGAAGAGTATTATTATTTTTTTTTCTTTTTTTAAACCTTTGACAACCTTTTAATTGTTTAAATAAATAAAGATTAGAGATCCTGATAACAGAAGAAAAAGAATAACATTTTCATTTTTCATTATTTTTAAGATATGGAAAAATAATGGAGTTGCCTCTTCAAAAAAGATAAACAGTTTAAGAAACCTCTCCCACTCAAAATGATTAAGAAACAATCTTACGGCAAAAAACTGACAGTTCTTCTACTGTGTATAACAGCATGTGGAATATAAGTGGGCAAGATTCCCTAGGTTCATATGCGCAGGCTCTGGTAAGGTGACCCTGCATCATCCTTGCACATGGAAGTTTCCAATGACTGCTCTGTACTGTCATTTAGAATAAAACATGGTTTAAGTCTACCAACTGAAATTCTTTTGACAGTTCTATTAATTTCTATATCAAAGTATTTTGGTGCTCGGTGTTTAATAAATAAGGACCAATAAACCAGCTGTAAAGATAAAGTGGCTGCATAACTGGACATAAAAACATGTGAGAAATTCAAAAGTTGCTTCGAAACAAGGAATGTTTATATAAATGCATAATAAATTGGAGATGGTGTAGAAATGGTATTAATTCTGGAAAGAACATTTACTACAACACCTTTTTCCTTCTCTGAGGTACTGAATAGTCATTGAGTAATATAACTTAATTGTCTTGCTTGTCTCGGAAAGGCTCTCTCTAAATTTTGTTGAAAAGCAAAGGTGGTAAGTTTATGGTCCATGATGAATTACCTTCCTTCCAATATGTACCTAAAATGTTTTATTGCTGTGTAGATGGACAGAAGTTCCCATTCATATGAAATGTATCTTCTCTGTGTATCAGTTAAGGAATGTGAGAAGAAACTTAATGGACGCAACTCTCCGATGTTCAATTTGGACAGCCCCTATGGCAGTTTCAAAAGCATTGTAGTGACAGACATAGTAATAATCATTCAATAAATATATTGCTAGCCATTACCCTTTTTATACCATGAAAAACTTAAAATCTGCATAAAAGATATAATACACAATAAGAAAGCAGATGCTATGCCCTCGCCAGAATTCGAATTCCAGACCTCCAGATTGCTAGCTAAACATGCTTTCCAATTACACCATGAAGACACATAGTAAGGAAGTAGGAAATGTAACAAGGAGGAACACATTTCCTCCACTTAAATTTCAACTGCATATAACTGCCAAATCCTCGTAGCAACAGGGTTATCACTCAAACAGTAGAATGAAATTTCCTGAATTTTCCAGGTGTGTTTTAAGAAAATTCCAGTCTATCTGCATAGTGCGCACTGTGCTGAGAGGTAAATTAATTATGGTTCCACTTGAAAACAAAAATTTGCCAATTACATATGACTTATCCCCAAAGCATTACTATTATAACTATAATAGGAGTTGTTTTCTTCACTGAAAATTGAGATTAGAATATGCCCAATCTGGATTAAAAAGCGTCTTTTTCCGCAGAAATTTTGCAATTAAACAAAAGAAAGAAATCCATTTAATAATATTTTTAAATAAATTTGGGTATTTTATATTTATTTAACAGCATACATAAGCAAAAAATATGTGCACTAAATTTCATCATGGCATATCATCATATTGCTAGAATTAATTTCAGGAGTATGCCAGAGAAAATTGCCTGGAATTTGGAAGTATTATGAACTAATAATAAATAAAGTTAGAAGGAAGAAGCCACATTAAATTATATGAATAACATTAAAAAAAATTACTTAAAGATTAAAAATTGAATTACAATAGTAAACGAATAACTTTTTTATTTATTTATTTATTTTACTGCAAAATGACAAATACGGCATTTATTAAAAACAAATTTAAGATTTTGTGGTAAAATCCTAGTATATGGTAGGACTTTGACATGATTTTAAAAATTGTCACCAACACCAAAATGATCCGCTTAATGCTTATCATAATGTTGCCAAATCCTGTTTGTACCATATACTATGATTAAACCGATTTTGTTTTATTTGAGAATGGGAAGGTATTTTCTTTAGTTCAATGTGCACTGCAAATGCGAATCTCTTGATTCTAGAGCTTACTGGACACTTGTTTTTGCCTTTCTGAAAAACAATCTGATTGGAGCTTCAAAAACTGGCTGTATGATGGCTCTGCCCAGATCACACTTGCACGATACATAATTCACAAAGAAAGTTATCGCTTCCAATGCTGGCATAAATAATCGCTTTTTGGGGTGATCGCCATATAAAATTTCTTGACTTTTCCAGATTTTGACTACAATATTTAAATTCTCTAACTTTTAGTCAATTTTCAAATTCCCTGGTTTTTCCCGGTTTTTCAGGTAATGCGGCAACCCTGTATTTACCACATTTTAGTTTCATGACTTCCATTTTCATGCGGTAAGGTAAGGAAGGAGAAACTAACTTTACAGCTTGCTCATCAAGCGCTGGTCTGGCATTGTCGAACCCATGAATCATTTAACCACCTTGTTACCAAGAATACTACCCAGGCTGCATAGCTGGGAGGACCAATATTCCACCTGTGAAAAGAAAGCGGAAAAGACACCTATAAACATCAATGTAATTGATGGGTTCAGAATAGCTACATAAGAGTGGCGTATGAGATTTCAGTGGCCCTCTACTAACTAACCCCTTATCGCTCTTAGGGTTCATACAGTTAACCACATATACTGGATCAGTAAACTGTGTATATTGCACAGCATTAAATATCTTCACAAATGATGCAATGATGCCATCTGGATCACTAAACTGGGTATATTGCACAGCATTAAGTATCTGCACAAATGGCGCAATGATGTCTGTAACACGATAGACTGTCATCAATACATTAACTTCATTTCGTGCTACACCATGAGAATCAATACCTATAATAATGCGTTTAACAATACACACGAACACATCAACTTCTTTTCTTGCCTACTGCATCATGATGGTCATATCCACATGTAAAGCTAGGGAAAAGAACAAAAACTGAGCAGTTTGCATTTTTCATTAGCATATCGGCGCAACAACAGGACTGATGGGTCCAGCAACAGTATAGGCTACTTTGGTTGTATATTATGTTCACATCTAATACACATATCCAGTATTTTGGCCAGCCAATGTTACGTAATTTAAGTTTTAATGCCAGTAGATGAACCGTATCTACAAGACTTTCCCTCATCTTTCAACACGACAGTAAGACACAGCATACTGCATAATATTTCCTCAATGCAAAAGGTGTTTCATTCTTACTTTGGCCTGCACATTCTTCAGATCTTTCACAAACTGAAAAGTTATATTTAATAACTATTGCAAGAGCAGCTAACAGCCCCCACTAGCTACAATATAATAAATCTGATGCAGAACTGAAGTTGCATTGACTGCTATACCTCTCTCAATTAAAGTCTACTTCTTGCCCAGTTGTATAACAGTTGCTTTTGTTGCCAGAGACAGATGCTAAGCAAACTGATATCTGAGTGTTCTATACCTCTAAATTATATGAAATTTCAGCATTTCAATATTTCATTACAATGTACTTATAAAATAAACATGATTTTCCAGAGTTCTTTTCTTCACGGAGTAGATATTTTATAGACTAGTAATGTAGCTTATACAACATCACTCCATTTGCCGTGACTTGCAGACAATTTTCTCAATGTGTTAGTGAGTGCATATTTCTTAACTGGGAAAAGTGTATTTTAATACAAAATGAATATGATTCTTGAAATCTTGAAATGAAATGCCTTTCCAAACTTTATTCATCTTCTCATTAAAAGAAGTTATAACATACTTCTATACATCTAAAATATATATCTAAACATTCATATGCATGTAAAACATTTGAAGAAAATTTGAAAGAAAATGAAAAAAAATTTAAGAACATAGGTAACTGTTCAAGAATAATAAGAAATAGACAATACCTCAGAAAAGTACTATTATAAATATACTTAGTGAACACAAAAAACATATAATACAAATAATTAAAAGAAATAGACTTCTCCATTCTACACTGCTCGACATTGAAAATGCAACACCAAGAAAGAGTGGTCAGAATTTTATGCAAATTTTAGAGTATATGCACGCCACTAAGTTATGCGAATGGTGTGAAATGTGCAGCTCTCCGTCGCACGTGAAGTAAGATATAAGGGAAGGAACATGCAGAATGGGCAATATTCGTGTTGTTATTTCTGCTAGACGAATTATCGAAGAAAGTTGGTTTTTGTCCTGGAGTATACGTGTAATAGGAGAGAATGGCCAGGCTCCCGTCAACGAAGGCACTTCCAGCAGACAGACAATTTTATGAGGGGTATGGTGATCGGACTGACAAGGGAGGGTTGGTTCTTACGTCAAATCGCAGCTGATCCCACATGGATGCGAGCATGGTGCATCGGCTATGGTGAACATGGTTGGAACAAGGAAATGTGAGAAGAAAGAGGGGTGCAGGTGCAGCCAGAGTAACATCAGCACGCATGGATCGATGCATCCCCTGACAAGCTGT